TACGTGCATTGTACCCAGTCGATGACTTTATTCCAACTACAATACATTAACGTTACATGTGTGGGTCGCGCTTTCAGCTATCTTCATGTACTGATCCATTTCTATCTAATTGAGTACGTTTTGGATAGATCCAGGAACTTTTATTGTACAAAACTTTACTCAAAATCTCTTACTTATCTTACTAACATGAGAAGATTGAACACGTTTGTGTGACCAGATTGATATAAAAACCTGAGTTGATATTGTATCAGTTCAATGATATATTTGAAAAATCTGAGATAAATTATAAACATAACTGAAGAATAAAGAAACAGAAGTGAATATATTTCTTCTCCATAAAAATCATATAATCACCATTTCATAAAGTATTATTAAGTCATTTATGTATTTTGAATACAGAAAAAATAATTTAAGTGGAATATTATGATCTAAAGGCGGACCGACATATCCTTGGTTCGAATCCTGCGAGGCGGGATCGTGGATACGCACTGCTGAGGAGTCCCATAATAGGCTGAAACAGTCGTCCAGTGCTTTCAGGTTTTCAATGGTGGTCTAGCTTCAATTGAATCAGGAATTCAATTATCAAATTGATATAAATACATTAAACTATTTACTAAAGATCTAAATATGCTAAAAAGACTAAATTGTATAAGGAAGAACTTCCTATAATGCTGACAGTAACAGAAAAGAGACAAAAGGCTAAAAATAAGCGGTTACGTAATCTCAATGGTTAAGATCATGAGTCAGTTGAAGCTAGACAACCATGGAAAACCTGAAAGCACTGGACGGCCGTTTCGTCCTGTTATGGGACTCCTCAGCAGTGCGCATCCACGTAATCAACAGATGTTAATGTTAAATAAAAGTAAACTGAATAAGGTTTAGTTAGTTAAAAATGAATGAACTAGGAAAGAGTGAGAAAATAGTAGTGAGGACTTAACGAAATAAGATGAATTCATGTTAGTTTGCACATTTCCTTATTTATGGCGAGACAATAATTTATGGACGAACCAATCAGATTTAGGATATCAAGTCTGGATTTTGGCTCGAAATTCATCTACCTATTTGGCTAAATACTGTTTTAGCATTTTAGCTGATGTCAGTTCATGATGAAAACCGTAATTCTAATTCCTAACCCTAACCATTAATTGTAGATCACAATCTTAATTCCTCACATTGATTTGTAACCCTGATTTAGCCTTAGTAAGTAGGTGGGCATTCTCAAAGTTACTCTGGCGTCGCTCAAAGGTCGTCCATACATTGTAATTTAACAGTTTTTAGTTCTAAATTTACATACGTCTAATTCAACTATGGTATCAAGTGACGACATGAGATTTCGTTTGCTGGATTTCGTATTACGTCTATAATGGATGAAGAGATTATTCTAAGTGGTTGAATAAAGATCTCATTGCATGATTATTAGTAAAGAACTTAGAATTCAACAGATAATACATTTATGCACATGATTCTCTATAGAAACAAATGATCTAACAACAGAATTCCATACTGAGTAGAACTATGCATGTGCAGTCATAATTATGTTGAAATCTTTAGTAATTCATAACATCAGAAAACAAATTAGCATGTTATTACGATAATAAAAAGTGTGAGAAATATACAATTTCCATAACATCGCCGATGTGCCACCTTATCGCCGATGTGCCACATGGCGTCCTCCCTCTGCATCTCAAGCCTGGACTCAGATTGGTCACATCGCGATCAGCTACCGCTGGCGTGGTTGTGTACAAGACTGCCGCTCCTTTTGGAGTACCTATCTGGACTCTGACCATGCTTTGGTCTGCGCCAATCTTACCTTACTTTTCAGTGGACAACCAAGTGACCGCCATCAACGGATTGATATTAGCAAGCTGGTTGCAACTTCTGTTGCTGGTAAGTATCGAACCGAGCTAGCTTCTAGGCTAGCTACCATTCCACTGAAAAGTATAGATGAGCATTGGTTGCAATTGCACGACGCCATGAAAATAGCGGGTACAGTCAGTTGTGGGTTCGCGAAACGTCCCGGAAGTCCGCATGGAACTCCAACTCTTGAAGCGCTACAAATCACCTGGCCCAGATGACCTACCTCCGGCTCCTTTTAAAGATGGTGGTGACTTTCTGACTGAGGAATTGACGACGTTGTTTACAAAGGTTTGGGTGTTCGAGAGTGTACCAACGTCATGGAATGTGTCGATAGTTGTTCCTATCTTTAAAAAGGATTCACGTCGTTTTCGCAAAAACTATCGGGGGATAAGTCTACTTCCGATTGCGTCCAAGCTATTGGCTTTCGTCATACTTCGTAGGTTGTTCAAAACCCGAGAAAGATTGACTGGCGAGGAGCAGGCTGGGTTTCGTTCTGGTAGAGGATGTATTGATCATATCTTCACCCTCCGCCAAATGTTAGAACACCGTCATACTTTTCAAAGGCCAACAATCGTAGTGTTTCTTGACATCAGGGCTGCCTTCGATTCGTTGGATAGGACTGTTCTCTGGGATTGTCTATTGAAGAAGGGTGTGCCTGAGAAGTTTATTAACATCCCAAAAGCCCTATATACAAACACTTCAGGCAGAGTGAGGGCATACAACCACCTCTCTCCATTGTTCCATTCGAGCAGTGGGGTTAGACAGGGTTGCCCAATCTCACCATTCCTCTTCAACTTTGCAATCGGTGACATTCTGGAAACAGCTCTGATGGATGTAAGTAATGGTGGTGTGGATCTGTTGCCTGGAAAAAGACTTCTCGACCTTGAGTATGCGGACGATATTGTCTTACTGTGCGATAATGCTCAAGCCATGCAATCTGCACTTAATCAGTTGGCAATCAGTGTCCTTAGGTATGGTATGTGCTTTGCACCTTCGAAGTGCAAAGTACTTCTACAAGACTGGCAGGATTCTAATCCTGTACTCACCCTGGATGGTGGGCAGATAGAAGTAGTCGAGAAGTTCGTGTATCTGGGTAGCTGTATGAGTGCTGGTGGGAGTGTGAGTGATGAGATCAATCCACGAATAGTGAAAGCCAGATCGGCTTATGCCAATCTGGGCCATCTTTGGCGCCTTCGTGATGTTAGTTTGGCTGTAAAAGGTCGGATCTACAACGCGTCGGTGAGAGCAGTTCTGTTCTATGCTTGTGAAACCTAGCCTTTCTGAGTGGAGGACGTTAGACGACTGTGTTCGATCATCGTTGTCTCCGAAGGATTGCTGACATCCAGTGGCGACACCATGTTAGTAATGCAGAGGTTCGGCATCGTGTGTTCGGGCGCAGAGACGATAACCAAACTGGTGTCACCATCTTGAGACACCGACTTCGGTGGTTTGGACATGTTCTACGAATGTCGTCCCAGAGGATTCCACGTCGTGCATTATTTGCCGACTCTGGGACTGGTTGGAAGAAGCGGAGAGGTGGTCAGTGTATGACATGGTGTTGTGGCATGAAAGAAAGCTGCATAGTACTGGCCTGTGTTGGTATTTCACGACTACCTGGTTGGGGTTCGAGAGACGGTGCAACACAGTGGCTAGAGACGTTATCAGATATGGCTCAGAATAGAACCCAGTGGCGATCCTGCTGTAACCTTCTTTTACTTTCTTCATAAAAAGTGGTTGCTTCTTCCCTAACTGAAGGATTTTTTCCGATTGTACCTTTCTCTTTCCCCAATTATTACTGTTATTATTATTGTTATTACACCACCTTACATCAATCTCTTTTTTTTCTCCTTCACCTTAAATTCTCATTGTTTTGTGTGGCGCATATATATATATATATATATATATATATATATATATATATATATATGGCGCATTCTTGTACCAATATTTATGTGTTCAAATAAATAAATAAATAGATAACATCCTATACTGATCATAATGAAAATAATATACTCAGTAGTGACTGGCTTCAAGCTGAAATTCCATGAATCCTACAATGAAGCTACAACCAGTGGAGTTCAACTATGTCGAGTATGAGATAGTTATCCACCGAAGCCAATCAATGAGGGTTGTGTGATTCTATGAATTGATTGAAGCTATACAATAACACTATTGAATGCTGTCTCAATGATCTAGAGGTTAAATGTTTGTGTAAGATGTGAGATGATGGATTGGATTCCATGTAGTAGGATTATTTCTGAATAGTGATACTGAGTTTCATACTAGTACGAATTTGGTTATCCAATGCTTCCTAGTTTTTAATGATGTTTTAACTCAGGTTAGTTTCTTTTTGTAAAAGCTATGAAGATTCTATAATTACCATAAAACTCTCTATCTCTTGAACTGTCAAATTACTTAGGTTACTTTTATATACAACACAAGTAGTATAATAAATCAAGGAAAATAAAATTATAAACATTCAAATATATATACTTGCTTACTATCTATATTTGATGATAGAATTAATAGTAAGTGGATAATTATAATTAATCCAGTCATAATGTTAAATTATACTGATGAAACAATTACTAATATAAATGGTAGTTACATATAATCTGGTTATAAATATCTATCAAGCAGAACGATATAAGTAGGCAAACAAACCGTTAAGTTAGCCAATCAAATGAAAGATTCCAAACTAATTGACCTTGGTCAGTTATTATTTAAATGAAACGTAATATTAATTAATCTAAGGATAAATATGATCGTAATTTCAATAGTTGAGATCATGAGTCAATTGAAGCTGGACCATCATGAAAAACTTGAAAGCACTGGACGACCGTTTCATCCTATTGTGGGATTCCTTAACAGTGCGTATCCACGATCCCGACCCCCTCGAGATTCGAACTCAGGTAATATCGGTCTCATGCGCGAACGCTTAACCTTTAGACTACTAAGCCGGCCAACATCCAACAATAGGATGAAACGGTCGTCCAGTGCTTCCACGTTTTCCATGGTGGTCTAGCTTCAATTGACTCATGATCTCAACTATTGAAATTACAATAATATCCACAAAATCCCATTCTGATAAATATTATAGTCAGCAAAATTTATAAATTATTCATTTATTAACTACTCTGACTATGATATGTGTTGTGATGTACAGTGTCTAAAATCTGATACTGATACACAGTATAATATGTGCTAACCTTTCAATTGACTACTTGGGTGAGAACATAAGAGTGATCGAGAAAGTATATTGCACTATCGATTGAAATGCACTTGACTCTAAGATCACGCAAGATTCTCAACATCCATTGGTCGGATACCATCAGTAACAGCCTTCTGTGAGAGAGAGCAATCCAGATTCCAGTCGAAGAGGAAAGTTAGAAAAGACGATGGAAATGGATAGGACATATATTACGCAGAACACCAAACTGCATCACGAGGCAGATCCCAAATTTGAATCCTGAATGGAAGCGGAAAAGAGAAAGTAAATAATAAGAAAATAGCGAATTTCTGAAAATCAGGAAACTATATGATCATTAAAGATAAATGATTGTATTGAACGTCAAGTTAAGTATTTTAGCGTCTATTATGTGCTATCGAGGTACTTTAGTATCATTGTCAGCTTTTGAGTAAGCTGTAGCCGTTTAACTTCGAGTCTCGTAGTATTTATGCTTGAAGACGCCGCAAGTATTTGGAGTTTGACAACACTTTAACCAGTAACACCTTTTATGATCGAAACATATCCATCCATTGAAATCAAAAGTTGGAAGCGAAGAGGCTCGAAGATATATTTGATACGTTATCAATATGTCGAGAAGTGACTGATCTAAACTGGCTAACGGTTGTAAGAGAAGTTGAGCACGGCGTTCCCACTTGTGATCTGATTTAGACTCGTGACCAAGCACCTTCAGCTAGGTGAGTTCCTTAAAACCAATGTGGTCACAATCAAATGTCTAAAGATTACAGAGCTATTGATTTTGGGGATTTGTTTACCGCTACAGATCACCCCCCCAGTGAAGTATTAAAAATCTTAAGACGTGGCAGTTTGTATTAAATTATATTACCACATCAGATATTTGTCGTATAGACGACTATACTGAATGCAACTACTACTACTACTACTACTACTACTACTACTACTACTACTACTACTACTACTACTACTACTACTACTACTACTACTACTACTACTACTACTACTACTACTACTACTACTACTACTACTACTACTACTACTACTACTACTACTACTACTACTACTACTACTACTACTACTACTACTACTACTACTACTACTACTACTACTACTACTACTACTACTACTACTACTACTACTACTACTACTACTACTACTACTACTACTACTACTACTACTACTACTACTACTACTACTACTACTACTACTACTACTACTACTACTACTACTACTACTACTACTACTACTACTACTACTACTACTACTACTACTACTACTACTACTACTACTACTACTACTACTACTACTACTACTACTACTACTACTACTACTACTACTACTACTACTACTACTACTACTACTACTACTACTACTACTACTACTACTACTACTACTACTACTACTACTACTACTACTACTACTACTACTACTACTACTACTACTACTACTACTACTACTACTACTACTACTACTACTACTACTACTACTACTACTACTACTACTACTACTACTACTACTACTACTACTACTACTACTACTACTACTACTACTACTACTACTACTACTACTACTACTACTACTACTACTACTACTATACTACTACTACTACTACTACTACTACTACTACTACTACTACTACTACTACTACTACTACTACTACTACTACTACTACTACTACTACTACTACTACTACTACTACTACTACTACTACTACTACTACTACTACTACTACTACTACTACTACTACTACTACTACTACTACTACTACTACTACTACTACTACTACTACTACTACTACTACTAATTATAATAATAATAACAATAAAGTAGTTAACCTTCCGTTAAAATTGTTATGAGTCCATTTAGAATAATAATTAACAAATAATTATTGTTATTAATAATTATCATAGTTAATTGTTTTGCAATGAAAACCATGATTGATGTAGAATTAGGAAAGTTTTCCATTTAAAATAAAATTATATCGTCAAGGTTATTAATAATAATAAACCGGAAATGAAAAATTTACATAAACTATATTTCATAGATTTATTTATGTATAATAGGGCAAACGTTGTATTGTTTTGTTTAAATGTAATCAGTATGAAAATTTAATTATTCATATAATACAATCATTATGACTAGTATAAAGTAGAACTAATGAATATAATACATTCCATAGTTTTGTACTATTAATTTCCAAATTTCTTCCAACGTACTGTTCTGTATAGACTTTTCAGAATATAATCTATCTTAAGGATAGATGCTAACTGTTAAATATTTGTGTTTCATTGAGTAGTGATGAGATATATGCTCGTAAGGCAGTCTTAGATATTTTATTGAATAGTACATGATATACGATTGTAGAGATATTAAACTATATTTTGAAAGAAAAAGAAAAACTACATCCTGGGCTCATACTATTCAAAGTACTTTTAAAAATTATAGAATAGTGAACTGTGTATATCAACCATTGATTGCTAACACGGACATGAAAATATTCACATCTTTCATTAAATACATTGCAGCCTAGCGTCATGAGTAGGAGGATAAGATGCAGACATAAAGATGAGGATTGACAAAGCAAGGGTCGCATTCTTACAGATGACGAACATATGGAACTCAAAACAACTGTCAACCAATATCAAAATCAGAATCCTCAATACGAACGTCAAGACAGTCCTACTATACAGAGCTGAAACTTAGAGAACTACTACAACTATTATCAAGAAGGTACAAGTATTTATAAACAATTGTCTACACAAGATACTAAACATCCATTGGCCGGATACCATCAACAACAGCTTTCTGTGGGGAAGAAAAAACCAGATTCCATCTCAAGAGGAAATTAGGAAAAGACGATGGAAATGGATAGGACATACATTACGGAAATCACCAGACTGCATCACAAGGCAAGCCTTAACTTGGAATCTTAAAGGGGAGCGTAAAAGTGGAAGGCCAGAGAACACGTTAAGTCGTGAAATAGAATCAGGTATGAAAAGGATGAATAAGAACTGGATTGGTTGAGACAGTGTTGGATGGAGAGTGATGGTGGGTAACCTATGCTACTCGACGAGGAGTAACAGGCGTAAGTAAGTAAGTAGCATTATGAGTCGAGTTTAAGTGATATATCTATGAGGTTTATAAATTCCTGTCATAAAATATACTCGTTGTTTAAATTTGAGGTTAACTATTCTCTGAAGGGAAGCGGAAAAGAGGAAGGCCAAAGAACACATTACGTCGAGAAATAGAAGCAGATGTGAAAAGGATCAATAAGAACTGGAAGGAGCTGGAAAGGATTGCCCAGGACAGGGTTGGATGGAGAATGCTGGTGAGCGGCCTATGCTCCTTCACGAGGAGTAACAGGCGTAAGTAAGTAAGTAATTCTCTGTTATTAATTAATTGAAGTCTCTGAATACATTGTATTTATTTACTTAATTGAGTAGCCCAACTTTACAGTAATTAGCAACTGATATTTCGATCCTGTATTACTTTCATAAAATGTTTAGAGTTACGATTTGGCAATCAATTCTTGAACAGTAATTAGGTTGGGTATTTATCAATATTTCAGGTGGCTGTGCAATGATGCATTTATTGCTTTATATCAAATCTTCATTTATATTTCTACATAGTCTGAATAATCTTAATGTATGGCTTACCCTATTAGTCGACCTACTAGGACCAATAATATTCCCATTATGGTTTTATGCTGGTTAAAAAATCTCATTTCTATTTATCAGTAGTTCTTTACAGTTTCGGGTTTGGAAGTGTTTTGTGATATTCTTGTCACACTTTAAGATATAATACACCGAGAAGAACTGTTGTATTTATATCTCATAGATACAATCTCGAATGAAGATGGTTGTACAATATCATGAAGTGATTAGGGTTAGACATATAAGTGGTGTGGCAACTCGAACTGATGTACGTACGTACAACGTTCTACGTTGGGACTGACTGAGACATATAAGCCAATGGCTTTGGACTAGTGCTTCAAAGATTAAGCGGTCTCAGATAGACTTACAGGTCCTGGGTTCGATAACCAGTTATACGGTGGATGTGTATAGCCCAGTTTCAAACTAGGATAGTAAAACATACAAATGCGCCCTGATTGTCCATTGTTATCTAACATTTACAAACATCAGTTCAACTTAAAAGTACATACATAGTTGGTTTTGTATCCTACCTATGTATTTAAAACTCCAAGACTCGATAAAAAAATTAGCATCCTGAAACCATCCTAGTAAAATGTTTGGCTTAGTTCATATAAATCCAGTACGTTAAGGTATACAATGCGTAATCATACACGACCAAATCATCTATATCCTTAGATTATCAATCATTGAAAAAACTTACACATTATTTACAGTACAATAGGGGCTGATATAGCAGAATACATTGTTAACATACACACATATAACTAAAAATCGAATGCTGAATTTATTTATTTATGAATAAATAAACATTATCAGTTTGTCACATATTATTAAATGATTCATACTCCCTATTTTTAAAGAACTAAATTGTGAATAAGACCTTTGAAAACCAACTGCTGTATACTTCGCTAATACAGTAATATGATAATAAGAATGGTCTAGTTGGTACTATCGCTAGATTAGATACTCGAAAGGTATACTATATAGAGACTAAATCACTCTATATTAGGTACAGGATTCATGAACAAAATAGAGAACCAGATTAAAACCACACAATACTTAATCCCATACTAACACAAGCAATTATTCGGTGAGTCAGTCAGTCGGTAACAACGTGGAACTTCGTACGTACGTACATCAGTTCAAGTTGCCATACCACATTAGCACAGAGATGCGCCCCCAAATGCCCTGGTATGGCCGAGAGTGGGGAGGGCCCTCCCTCTCTCTCGAAGCACTCTCATATGGCCACGCGTACACAGCCTCTGCCAGGGAAGTCTTACTCACTGCCTTCTCATGGCGGGGGTGTTGTTTACGAAAATGAGAGGACGAAAAGAGAATATCTGGTGCTTTAACCGGATCCCAAACCAATGGTGCACATGGGCTCCAGTATCCTGATGGAACAAATGGCGTAAGAACCTATTGTTGGTTACTGGCTACCATAGGACTGCATCTCCTTACGATGCTCCACTGCCTTGTGGGTTAGACCTTTAGGTCAAAGGCTCGGGGTGTGGCCCCCTAAGTAAACCATCTGCTTCGGTCTGGGCACCCGGGCAGTATCACAGCCCTCACACAAATATGATGAACTGTCGATAATTATGAAAAATACTTTTCTTGCTTCGATTAATAATCAAACGTTTCACATTATTATTGTTATTATTATTATTATTTACTACGTCATTTATTTACTCTCACTTATTCCCACTCTGTCCATCCTTACTTTTCGAGTTATACAGCAGCTCGTCTGTGGTGGAAATTCGACTGTATTTAAACGTTCTCGAGTCACTGCCTGGTTGAAAATTGTATGCTACCACCGAATACGAATACTGAAGCAGTTTTTCTGAAACCACGTGCACCATTCAAACTGGCTGCCTTCAACGTTTGCACATTTATGCAGGTTGTACTACAGATAGGGCTGGCTATGTCTTTGGAAGGTCTTAATATCGACGTCTGTTTTCTATCCGAGACTCGTATTCAAGACTCTGGTGAAGTACTACAAATTCGCTCTCCATCTGTCGCTTCAAAAAGCTTGTTTTACGTGCGTTTATCTGGGGACCCTGTGGCATCTTTGTCTGGTCTTGCTGGCATTAGTGTCGCACTAAGCGCTAGAGCTGAGGCAGCACTAATCGATTGGATCCCCATTAACAGTAGGTTATGTGCTGTTAGATTAGAGAGTTCCATCAAAGTGAGAAGAACTCGGTGTGAGAAACGATGTGTTTTCTTCATTTACTTCTATGCTCCGACAGATTGCAGCCTGAATGGAATCAAGGATGAGTTTTACCACTAGTTATCTGTTCTTCTCCAGAAAGTGCGTTCAACGGATATTGTAGTGCTAGCCAGAGACTTGAATGCTCAGGTCAGACGTCTAGGCACAGAAGAGAATCGTTTAGGTGGCCGATGGGAACTTGTTGGTCGCAGGATAGATAACGGGGACCGTCTACTGCAACTGTGCACAGACCACAACCTGTTTCTGGCTAGCACTAACTTTCGGCACAGTCATCGCCGAAGTGCCACCTGGCGTCCTCCCTCTGCATCTCAAGCCTGGACTCAGATTGGTCACATCGTGATCAGCTACCGCTGGCGTGGTTGTGTACAATACTGTCGCTCCTTTTGGAGTACCTATCTGGACTCTGACCATGCCTTGGTCTGCGCCAATCTTACCTTACTTTTCAGTGGACAACAAAGTGACCGCCACCAACGGATTGATGTTAGCAAGCTGGTTGTAACTTCTGTTGCTAGTAAGTATCGAACCGAGCTAGCTTCTGGGCTAGCTACCACTCCACCGAAAAGTATAGATGAGCATCGGTTGCAACTTCATGACGCCATCAAAATGGCGAGTAAAGCCGCTTGCGGCTTCGCGAAACGTCCTGCTTATAAGCACTGGATTTCTGCAGGCTCCTTAGAACTCATCGAAGCCCGTCGGTCTACTCCGGGTGACCGTGAGTTTGACCACAAACGTAGGATGTTACGTAATGAAATTGGGCAAAGCTTGCGTAAGGACCGAGAAGCCTGGTGGTCGGAGCGTGCTAATGAGCTGGAAGCAGCAGCTGCATCTGGTAATTACCGGAAGCTCTTCCAACTCATCCGAGCCACTGGCAGCAAGAAGTCTGGTGTGAGTGAAACAATCTGCGAGGATGATGGGATGCCAATCACTAACATCCATCGACGTCTTGGACGATG